ATGTATTTAAGTTGACGCTGCACCGTCTACACCAACATGTTTTGTCTCTGTCTTACAAATGTACAAATAGCGAAAACTGTTTTGCGCAGGATAGAACAACTCAAGCTGTAATCCAAGYTAACCAACCAATTTTTCACACTATAAAGTGGATAATATTAAAATGTGCAACGTTTTTTTTTTCGATATCAGAAAAAAAAAGTTATTCAACTTTGAAAAACTCAAAAATAATGAATTCTAAAACAATTATAAGAACTTTCTTCGTATTATTTGTGATATCGAAAAATTAAAAACAACGTTGCACGGTAAATATTCTCCAGGAGAATAATCACGGTTTTCCAATTTGTGCCGGTACTGCGGTATATACTGGCTTTACGGCATACCGTTTCATACCGCTACTGAATCTAATACCRCAATACCGGTTTCCGATTTTAATACCGTCAAACCTAATTTTCTTCTTTATAGTGTGAACATTTAATAGCTTAGATTGGATTACAGCTTGAGTGGCTCTTTCCCGCGCAAAACAGTTTTCGCAATGTTTTACATTTGCAAGACGGAAACAACACATGCGAGTGTAGCGTCCTCTTTAGATATTAAATATAACTTAAGATTTACACCATAAAAGACGTATATCTGTTCTTAACAGATCACCCTTAAATTTTAAAGGAAAAATTAACAAAACTTTTATACTTTTAACTTTTGTCATCATAACAATATCCCAATAAATACACGTMATTTTCTCTAAACAGGACTAGCTGAATGGTACGAGCCAAATGGTGGCATGTTTCTGTGGTTGAAAATAATTGGACTAAACGATGCCAAAAAATTAGTCACTAATAGATGTTTGGAAAAATTAATAATCTTAGCTCCAGGATATGCACTATCAGCAAATCCTGAAAATCCRAGTCCCTATATTCGAATTTCGTATTCTATTGCAACGCCAGAAGAAGTCGATCGGGTAAGTGTTATTTTTTTTTTCAAAAAAGTAATTATTTCAATATTTCTTTTAATTTGTTAACATTCCATGCGTATTACAAACAGTATCTAATCCCATTACAATTATAGAATACAAATGGTAGGTAGTCACTATTTTTTTTTTTGAAGTCATAGTTTAGAATTAGTTCATATAGATTTTTATTTATTTTATTTTTATTTGTAGGCATTTCGCAAAATCAATTTTAACATAGATGTATTTTTGGAATGAATACTTTTTTTTCCAACCAATTTTGCAACGCTTTGTTTTTCTTTTCATAGAAACGCAAATCAATAAGATATATTATATAATATATTTACCTAGATTTGTATAGTTAAATCGTAGGTTAAGATAAATTTATATTTTCACAAAGTTGCCTGTTTCATAATTTGGAAACATGTTTTTACATTTCGTTGTTTTCCCGTTTAAACTTCTCTAATTTTWTTTGAAGTGTAAAATAKTCTTATTATTCTAGGGAATATTACTACTGGCGGAAGCTATACGAGAAGAATTGTTRGAGTAATATCTGCTAATATGATCAGAGTATGCAACGTTAATATCATAAATCATAATTATTATAGTTATCTATTATCACTACAAAAAAAGGGTTTGTATGAATTTGAAATTATATTTATTTTTTATTGTAAAATATGTTAAGATATTGATGATAACATATCTCATTTTTTAAGTTTAAAGTTTTAATTGTATTTTTTATATATACCTAATGATACATCTATTATAACGATATATTTTTAACGAAGACGTGTTTAAAAAAAAATTTGTGACTGTCATCACTTTAATAAAAATGTTTCAATATTTTCTATTTCACCATTTTTTTTCTCACTGCCCACTGGTCATAAAAATAAATTGCATACTCATTTTATGTTTACTCTTTTATTTACAAGGTTTCACAACTATTTTAACCTATATTGAACAGAATATTTTTTTTCAGAAAAAATATAATTTAAGTAAATAGTTAAATTTTAATGTTAAAATAAAATATTGTTRGAAAGCAATTTTGTAGGTGGGATGACATGCCTATGTGTACCACTGGGACGGCGCGAGGGGGGGGGAGTAATCGGGGCAGTTGCCCCGGGCCCTGCAATTTTAAAATTATAATCAAGGCCCCGCAGTTCTTAAATGATATTTCATACTGTTCAGAGATTAGTTAGTTTGGGTAATATGTATGTATATGACTGTTATTTATTTTGCCCGGGGCCCCGCAAATTCTAGCGCCGTTCCTGGTGTACCACCATACATAAMATCTTTAATTTTATATTATACTACCAAAGTATACAAATATCATTAACATTTTTAATATATTATATTTATTGAGATAAAATTATGTTATAAATATATAGTAATTGTATAATTGTAAAATTTCGAGACAT